CACATTCGTTTTAGAAAAGTACAAAGCTTCACGGATTGAGGGCGGGTGGGTTCCAAAATGTGTCTCTCGCATTACCGCCGCGCACATTCTTGTAACAAAAATTGCAAGAGTTTCACGGATTGATGGGCGGGTGGTTTTTTTAACGTGGTTTTCGCTTGAGCGCCGCGCGCACTAGTTCAACACATGTGCAAGAGCTTCACGGATTGAGGGCGGTTCCTTTTCAACATGGGGTTCTCGCCTTAGCGCCGCACATTTGCAGAGAGTTTCACTCGTTCTCGTGATCAACGTACCAGAAATGGCGTTTTGGAAAAATTCAGGATTAGTCGGGCGCAACCGTTATGTGATTCGCTGTGGAATTCCCTAAAATGGCGTTCTGGCACGTCTTGATCGTCAAGACGCAGCACTCAGGTTGGTACGCGGCATTGAAGCCCCGAGAAGAATGTTTTGGCAAGCTTCGGATATTCAAACGGTTGTCTTCCAACGAAGCAGGTCCCTCAATGGAAATGAACCGTTGTAAGGGCCTATGAAGAGGGAGCTTAGAGGGAGGGTGAATTCCAACATCGTTGATGACTCTTGGGTTTCCACTGGTCCTCCACCTCCTCCTCTTGTTTTTTTTGCCTTTTCCTCCCCCTCCTCCACCTTAGTTCTATCCTTCCATCCTTCCCCTCTCGGGGTATATGGCGATGTCCCAACCTTTAAATTCCGAGGCCGAGAAAAGGCAGACGCCTGGGTTGCAAAAGCCCCAAACGATCCCAAAATCGAATCGACAAGTCGGGTCGGAAGTCAACATGATTCGGATCGACGGGGATCTGCAGCCGAGTCGGGAAAGCCGAATCGGTAGACATCAACAAGATAGTATGCCCCTATTGAGAAATAGGATCCTACACCGGGAATCCAGAGTCGAATCGAACTCGAATCGGAATCCAGCGAAATCGGATCGAATCGGACCAGAGAAATCGACACGAACGCTGCAGAAATTTCCGCCCGAGCTCGATCCGGGCACCGCGCGACCGGGGCTGGGGAGCAAGTCGGCGCGGGCTCCGTTCGCGGGCGCCGGGCCCCCCGAGAGGCGACGCCTCGGGAGGGGGCGGGGGAGGGCGGGGATGGAGGGAGGAAGCGACGGGGAGGAAGGGATTGGATTGATTGAATCTACCACGAAGCGAATCTACATGATCGGACCGCCACCCGAGCCACGCTCGGGCTTAGTCAGGCCTTGTGCTCCGCCCATGCAACCGGACTGCCATCGAATTCGCTGACGCGACGCCCCTTAACTGCGCGGACCGATACCTCGTCGGCGGCCTCGCTGCCATCGGCCATCCAAATGAGCGCGCTGGCGCTGTCTATCTCGGGGTCAGACAACAAATCTGACCTGACATTTCAGAGCGACAACCTGAGGAAGATCACAAAACGACTCACGTCGCCAACCTGCTTTTAGATCCGAACTTTTCCCGGCTGCGGATTCAAAAAAAGTTTCCTATGCCAGCCGTCCATCACCCCTTGATTATCAGCGACGTACACAAAAAACCCTGCGTTGTACGCGATGGCGGCCAGAAAAGCGGCCGGCTCTCCTCTTGGGACAGACTGGCGCGGCCAAGGGGGGGGGCTGCGCGCAGTCGCAGCCGACGCGAAAAGGGCGAGAGAGGCGCGCGACGCAAGACCGATGCCAACGCGGCGCACGCGCACGTCTCTCGAGCCCCCCCCCACCGCTTGCATCGCCGAAAACAAAGACAGGGCTGCTTTCGGCGCCAACGCCGAAGCGATCTGGCATGAATGGCGGGCAGATCCGCTGCCTCGCCGCCGATTCTGGGCACTGGCGCCTTCTACCTTCGTCCAGCTCGCTGGCAATGCGCCGCGGAACCAAAACGTGCATCGGGCTCGCGCTGGCTCATCGCTTGAAGAATCACCCCGACGGAAACAGCGCAAGCCTCGAAACCACTAGTATACCTACAAGCCCAGGCGCGATGAAACTCAAATTCAAGCTCGGCCTGGCACCGGGGGCAACGGCTGTCCGCTTCCTGACCGGCCGCGTCTCTGACGCGCTGACGGCCGCGCGCAACATCGCCCCTGCTAACTGATGGAAATGATCGGCCTTCTCAAGAGCGAGAAAGAAAGCGCAAAGCGAACGGTCGTCGGTTCCCCCGTCGAGGCCCGCCCGACATGCTTGGCAGCCGTCTGCCAATTATGCAGCTGCGCCGCGTGCTCGGGCTCACCCGGCAGCGGGGCAGCTGAGCCCCGCGGGGTGAACTGATCGAAAAAATAAAAGCCTCGCCGCCTGGCCGGTCGCAGACCGCGGTGCACCGCCCAGTGCGGCGCGGCTGACCTGGCCCCGGCCGCGCTGCAGCAAATGCGCGATGACTTCGCCGATGGGCCCTCGAACGCGCCGGCTCCTCTGCCGCGCGGGCGCCGCCGCTGACTTGGAGACCAACTTGGGCCGAGCGGCCCGACTGTCTCCCTGGGCGCTCGGCGCAGCGGCCCACGCGCGCAGCCGCGGCCGACGGCGTTCAACTGGCAGTCGCGCGCCTGGGCCCTGCCGCGGGCGGCGCAGGTCGAGCGCCGATGGCAGACGGCGCCCCTTCCTCGCCGAGCTGGGCGCGCGGGCCAGCTTCCTTGAGCGCGGGCGCCAGGGCGGCGCCGAAGGCATCGTAGAAGCGGCGCCCACAATGGCCTGCTGGTTGGGCCCCCGCCTTCTCGAGGCGCATCGCGAGCCTGTGGCGACAAGCTGTCTGGGCAACGCGGCGGGTCTGCGCGCTCGCGCCCGCGGCCTCCGCCCCCCTGTCTAGCCGCGCTCCTAGCGCGCCTCCCTGCGCCGCGGCCCACGCCGAGGTATTCTGCCTGCAAGGCTGGATGAATGGTGACTCTGTGCCGTCGCGGGGGCCCGGCCACCCCCCCGGCACCCTGGCGGCGCGAGCGCAGACGTTCGCTTTGGGCCGAAATCTGCAGGCCCACCTTCTGGAGGAGGCCGGGCGTCAACTCGACTATATGCAGCAACTTCTTCTTGACGTGCATGCGAGATCCATGCGCCACTTCAGACAGATCGTCGACCCATCGTCTCGCGCCCAAAATAAGATGGGATCTCGCGAGGTTGGCCGGGGCGAAGTCAGGCGCGGAGCGGGCGACCTTGCGCTGCCGCGCGAACCTCGCATTGAACTGTGCGTGGATTGGACAGGCCGAGGGGGCCAATCAAGCCGGGCGACCACTCTGGGCCCTCGACGCGGCTGCAACTCTAGGGATGCGATTGCTGGCGGAACGCCCAACTCCAGGGCCTTGGCTGCCAGTCTGACGATGCAAATGGAATCGTAAAATTGGAAAGCGAATGTGGGGGTCGCGCGCAGGGCCCCGGCAATGTTGGCCATGGGCCACGCGTGGGCGACGCGCCCTCGACTGCCGCGCTCGGCGGGGGACTCACTTGAAGCTCCCCGCCTGCGCCCATGCGCGAGAGGTGACGGCGAACGAAGCAAGGGCGCGGGGGGCCGGGGGGGGGGCGGCGAAGGCTGCGCGCGCTGAGGCGGAAGAGACGGCTTGGATAAACGAAGGCAGCGAGGTGGGTGTCAAAATCTGCCCGGCCAATCTGACGCACGGAACGCTGCGCCTCAGTTCTGGGGATCTCGAGGGCCAAGGCAACAGGCGAATTCATGTTGCGCGGGAAAGCGAACTGTGAAGTCACATGTTGGGGAAAAGGAAAATCTATGGAAAAAACAAGATGTGAATTCAGATTCTGGATTTTTGCGCAGGAATTTGCATGGACGGGGCCAGCATGTGCATTCGCATGTTTGGGAAATTGAAAACGTGACTTCATATTATGGAAAATGTGAATTCGCATTCTGGGAGAGTCGCGGGGTCCGTTCTAAATCTGCCTTCGGGGTCGACCGGTCATCGCTCGGGGGCGCGCGCGATCACCGATCGCCCAATCAAAGCACACTTGCACTCCGCTTCTCAGCCCCGCGCGCGACATGCAAGAACGCCCGCCCGCGCAGACGATAGTGGGCGGGCGGCGCCGCCGCCCGCGCGGGCAGCCCGCGGGCGCGAACGACTGGCCATCCATGACCGCTGACATTCGATGTCAATCATGCCCAATCATATACATGAACGATATATTGGGCATGCATGGGCCATTCAGCCCCCCTTGTACACCCCTTTTTGCAGACACCTCCCTTCGCCCCGCAAAAAGCTGCCCGCGCAGGTGAGCGAATGATCCGAAGCCGCCCAGATTGCGGCGTGGAGTTCGTCGCCGATGACGCGCGGGAAACTTTCCCGAAGTGCTGAATTTCCCGCGGTGGCCGCGCCCGAGGGAGGCGGGCTCTCCCCGGGCCGCCCCCGGGTCCGCGGCCCCCGAGCCAAGGGCCAGATGTGCGGCGCCATGCCAGCGAAGACCGCGACGCGGCCCCCGCCGGATTGATTGGCCACCGCGCGGCCGGCAGTTAACCTTAATTGTCGTGGCCATGTTAAGTCATGTTCGACTGAATTGGAAATGCCCGCCAACCCCTGAACCTCTTTTTCTGGGGGAGAGCGCTCAACGTCTGTCGGTGATATCCCATCGACGCATTGCCCCGCTCAGAGGCGCGCGGGGCGCGCTGCCTCGCGTGCCATCTCACTTGATAGCGGCGGCACTTGTTGGCGCTCGGCAGCTTCGCGGACGCGCGCAGAAGAACCCGGCGAAGATCTCTGAACAACTGCTGACTCGCGCCACAGCTCATGCCATTTGCGCACTTTGAAATCAATGATGTCTTTAGGATGGTGCACGGTAGCGCCCTAAATTGCCGGCTCTTCTGCGGCCTGCGGGTTGCCTTTGGTAGACTAGTGCAATACTAGCAGCGCATCTGCCGTGGCCGTCCCAATCCTGCACTCATGAAGCGATCGAAGTGAAGCCCGACCACGAGCCCGCCGCGCTGCGCGCTCTGCCGCTGCAGTCATGTCCGCGAACACCCCGATGGGAACTGCCATGGGGCCACGGATGCTGGTGAGCCAAGACTCCCATTGCCACTGGCCATGGATCAGGTCGTGTGCGCCAGCGGGGTAGTCGTCGATCATGTGGATGGTGGAGTCCTGCGTGCTGGGGCACTGGGGCCGCCCGTTGGATCTCTCCCTGTGTTCGATGACTCTACTAAGCAACGTGCGCGCTCGAGTCCACCATGCACAAACTTGATCCTGCGTCGGCTGGGCGCGGCTGCGCGTGGACCTCCTTGACGACAAATCTGGGCCAATCCGCGCGAGCGCGAGTGTGCTGGGGAAGCGCTGCACCGCGATGGACATGAACCGTATGCTACCGCGTCGCGGCCCACGCAACAAACATCCCGCTTGTCTCGGTAAACTACTAGCGACCAACTTTATAGGCGATCGAATCACGAACTATTGCCCAATCGACCAATCTGACTTCGGTTCTCGGGGCAAGGTGCCGACGGAATGAAGAAAAAGGGAAAGGCAGAGTGGGCGGCAGCAGCGGCAGCGGCAACAGGGGACCCCAATAGAGGCTCCAAGGGGTCTGAATTAACCGCGCTTGGGGCCCTGGGATCCGCTGTGCCACTGGAGCCTTCCGCGAGCCTAACTGGGCCCTGGGGGGCCCACGAGACTGGCAAGGTTTAAAGCAGCGGGAATATTTTCTGGGCTCGGCTCACCGGCAACGAGGCTAGCAAGAGTTCCCCGACGCCCTGTCGCAGGCCCGAAACTCCGTCTCGCCCATGCGTCCTCCTCCTCAGGACACAGCTCATCAAGATCAACGAAATCTACTTGGGCATGCTCGGTGCTGCTCGTGCCAGTGCATTCCGATTCCTCACCGCGACTGCCCGGCGGCGACGAGATCCCGGGTGGCCTCGCCCACGCGGGCCGACGAGGCCATGGCCAGGACGTCTCCGTGCAAAACCGCGCGCTCGGAGCGAAGCTTCTCGCGAGCTTCGCCCTGCGGGCACAAGCGAACTTGCCTAGCTGCCGCAGACCTGGAGCCAAGACCATGGAGGGGAAAGGGGCGGGGAACCGGCGGCAGCTTGGCTGGAAAATCGAACCCACGTGTAAGCAGTTGCTCACCCGTGCCTCGACATTTCATCGCCAGACCGCAATGCGTTTTCCATGGAACGGAGCATGTGGACAGAAAGACGAGCCGGCAACAACGTAATCTCTCTCCGTGCCAGCGCTGGCTGTCAACGTTACGGAGGTGTTGGAGGCCGTGATGGCATGGCCTCCAAGTCGAGGGACGAATCCCTGGCGAATCAACGCCTCGGACGACATATTTCAATCCGCGAAGACAGCCAGGGAAGCTGTAGGCTGATCAAGAACGCCCCGAGTTTGCTGAATATCTGGAAGTTCCTTCCAGACCACCCTTCACCCGAGAAGCCGTATAAGACGATCGCAACAAAAAAAACATGTCGACCACCGTCACGTGGAAGACGCCAGCGCCTGGTGGCCGTAAGCGCAAAACTGGCAACCCTCGGCAGCGAGTGTTCGAACGGAGCGATGCCCCTCTGCAAAAAAACATTCCCCGCCCTCGTTGGCTCGATGCTCATTGGATGAATCCACGAGCGCCTTGCCACTAGGCCGAGCTGGATTGCCTAGGAGTCGCAAGGCAGCCTTCCTGGCCTCGCGACGCCAATGCGCAAAATTGTCGGAGCCATCGTGGGACCCCACGATGCCAATGACATTGTACTGTTCATGCCAATGCTGCGTAGAGGCAATGTAATCCCAAGCAAGCTTCCCTGCGCAAGCATTGTTGGCGAAGAGAAGACTGCAAACATCATAATCGGAGGACTGCGACTGATCAAGAAACTGAAACAGAGAAAAACGTGGATGTTGTGCCGAGCTCGCAGGCGTCGGCCTCCACGCCAAGGAACCGCCACGCGCTCCAGTCGAGGGACTGCTCGTGGCGCTGCTCCTCGGCGCCGCCCTCCAGGGCGGCGTGACTACTGCCCCGCGGTTGGCGGCAAGGCCTCGGCCTGCTTCGCCAGCTTCGCCGCCTCGAACTTCGCCTTCGAAACTCGGTTGGCCGCCTCCTCGTGCCTCCTCGCGTCCGCCCCTGCTGCTGCAGCGGCCGCTGCTACCCCTGAAGGTGAGCTCGCGCTGCCGCTTGCCGCTGCGCCCCCGACGGTGCACGTGGCCCCCTCGGAAGCCGCTGCGCCGCCGGCGGGGGGGGGCGGCTGCAGGCGGTTGGCCACCAGGTGCGGCCTCTCCGTTCGCACAGCGCCGTTGGTTTTACATGCGCTCGGTCAGACACAAACGCACGCACGCACTCAGAACACGCAGCACGCACACACACAAACACACACACACACACACACGCACGCACGCACGCACGACGCACGCACGCACGCACGCACGCACGCACGCACGCGCACACACACACACACACACACACACACACACACACACACACACACACACACACACACACACACACACACACACACACACACACACGCACGCACGCACGCACGCGCGCGCGCACGAACGCACGCACGCACGCACGCACACACACACACACAATCACAATCACATACACACACACAATCACACATATACACACACGCACACACACACACACACGCAAACACACACACACATTCACCCACACACACACACACACGAACAACAACATTACAAACAACAAACACATACACGGGTGATACGGAGGCGGGGGGGGAAGGGGAGGGAGGAAGCGAGGGAAGGAGGGCGAGAGAGAAGGATGGAGGGCAGGGATGGCGGAAGAGAGGAGAGGCACTGGGGAACAATATGAAGGGAGACTGGGAAGATAATGATGGAGGGAACAGAAGAAGCTCCTCGTCTCACCCTCCTTGGCCAAACCGTGTAGGAGCGAATTCGCCGTGACCTCGGGTCGCGTTCGCTGTCCTGCCATTTATTGGAGATCCCTCGCGCTCATCCAATTCATCATACTCTTCTTCTGCCGCATGCGACCCCAGCCCATATCTCGTCCATCCTCCCTCGTTCTTGTCCACCTCCTCGTCCTCTGTCTGTGCGCAAACATCCCACTCCGCCTTTTCTGCGGTCTCCTCCTCTTCTTTCTCCTCGTCCTTCTCCTCCCCCTTCAACCTCCTTCTCATCCACCCCGCTCCTCCTGCTCCTCCACTGTTGCCGTTGGTGCTGCCGCCTCCTGTCGAGCGAGCTTTCTCCGTCGCGCATGGGGCGACGCCTCCTGCGTCGGAACCAGCGGCAAAATTAACGTCCGAGGGCATGAAACGCCACGCACACGTGGGCTCAGCGGCTGTTTGGCGAAGATGGTCTAGCACTTGATTCACTAAGAGGGCGTCTCCGACGTAGGGGGTCTCAACTCTGCTGGCGAGTATGGAGGCCGCCCTTCGCGCCTCCGCCCCAGTCTCCCTCCCCGCCCAATTACGACGGTAACTCATCGAACGGGAATCGGTCTTCTCTTTACCTACGATCAGGAGGTCGCGCTTGCCCTTTCCGTCCCGAGAGATGTGCCAGTGGTGGAGGTTCTCGGGTATGTATTTCTCTTGATCTACCAGGATTCGGTCGTGGGCCCTGCGTATCCACCTGCCTATACATATATATATATATATATATATATATATTCGACGCCCTCGGCGTCCACCGACCTTGGCTTCCCGAAGACAAACAGATCCGCGAACGCTTTGATATGGCCCTCTCGAACCTCATCTTTCAAAACGATTGCCCAAATCGTCGACTTCGATCAAAACCATCGCATCAGCCCCTCCCGGGCCTCGGCGCACCATCCAGCGCGGCTCGAGACGGGGCCAGACATGCCCCAGAGACTCGAAAAACGAGACGGTGGTCTTGTCAAGCGCCATGGGGGCGTCATCCAGCCCGTAGTAGACTGGAGCGACCAGCTCTAGGAGTGAACCTGCCTCCAGGCCGAGCCCATCGCATGGCTCTACGAAAAAACGCCCCCGAGCCCGACGGAGAGGATCCGACTGGCACAAAGAGTTTTTCAAATCTCCCATGGCGAGGGACATCCCGAGCATGACACTCCCGGCAGGAAAGGGCATCAAGGATTCAATCTGAAAAGCCGGCGCGCATATTTTCAACTCGTCGGTGCCCTCGTCCTCGCGTGCCCTCACGCGCCGGCGGCTCTTGGTCAATGGCCTCGCGAAGGTACCCTCTTGGGGCCTGTGCTTCCTCGCCATTCGGGATGAAACCGCTCGGTTCGGACGCATCTCTCGGAATTCCCCCCCCTCGCTGGGTGGATGGACTTTCGCGGCCGCGGTTCCCGAGATGGCGCTCCGCTCGATGGAGCACCGCGTCGTTGGATCGGCCAGGGAACTCGAAGCACGGCCGCCCCTGCTGCCCGACCCGTGGGAGGATGCAGCATCTACGCACAGAACTCCTTCGCCGAACTCCCCGGCTCCGTGGCCGACCGAACGACGTGTATACATCGAGCCCCTCCGACGAAACCCCAACCAGTCGTTATTCGAAAGAGGACAAGCACCATCAACATATTTACTCGGAAGACCGCACAGGCCCTCTACTGTTTATGATGAGTTTACCCCCCAACCATCCTGTGGAGTTGAGCCCTCGTTTTGAAAAGACACTCCGCGCGTCTCCTTCCTGGCTTCCGTCCCCCTCCCGGTGCTCCCTCCTCCCATCTCTGCCTCTGCCCTCCGCATGTGTACCAATTCGGCACACCCCTCACGCGCCGTGGCCCGATAGGTCGCTCCACCGAAGGCCCCAGTGGCTGGGCCCACATGCGGCCCCCCGCCGACCGCATGTCCAGTTCGGCACAACCCTCACACGCTTCGTGGTCCCATGGGTAGTTCCACCGAAGGCCCCAGTGGCAGGGTCCACATGCGGGCCCACGCTCACCCCCGCTCACCGCGTGTCCATTTCGGCACTCCCCTCACATGTTCCTCGGCCCCATAGGTCGCTCCACCGAAGGCCCCAGTGGCAGGGCCCACATGAGGTTCCCAGACCATTGTGAAATACCCCCGCCCCTCACGGGTTTCGCGGCTGCATCGTGGCCCTCCCGAGCCTCGCTTTGTCGACTGTCCAAATTGTTTGGTTCCGCGCCGCGGACGACCCGCGCGAGTCGCTGGAATCCTCTCAGAGCGACAAGTGCCGCCAGGAGCTGCCCGACTCACACGCGCTCTGCCTGGCGCCTCGCCCGTTGTCATCCTCCACTTTTTGTTTTGCGCCATACCGCGGACGACCCGCGCGCGTCGCTGGGACTCCTTCTGGTCTACTGGCGCGTGTCGCAGGGGTTCCGCACAGCGCTCTGCTCAGAACAGCGCCAGGGCGGAGGGACAAAGAGTGGAGGAAGGACATGGAAGCAAAACGGCGTCTCCAGGGGCTCGGTCCATCGCGGGCCAGGCGGTCAGGAACGCAACGCACGGCGGAAACAGATGGAGGGGAGGAAGAGCTGGCGAAGGAATGGCTCGGGGATCTCTTGACCTGGGTTCATCCAGACCTGGGCCTGTCAAGCCTTGCAGGATCCTGCAAAATCCTACAAGATCCTGCAAGATCCTGCACCCAAGCCTGGGTCATTGCACTGGCTCTGCAGCAACCCGCAAGATCTGGCGCCCTGGCTGACCCCCGTTTGCATTGACCTGCACGGTTTCCCCGGGGGGCGTAGGCGACCGCCCGAGGAGGAAAAGGAGGAAGAGGAGGAGGAGGAGGAGGAGGAGGAGGAGGAGGAGGAGGAGGAGGAGGAGGAGGGAGGGAGGGAGGGGGAGGAGGGGAGGAGGAGGGGGAGGAGGAGGAGGAGGAGGAGGAGGAGGAGGAGGAGGAGGAGGAGGAGGAGGTCGCCTAAGCCCTTCGGAGAGAAACCCACCACATTGACCCCAATCTGTTCAGCCCCAAACGGCCACGACAAAGCGGCGCCCGGGGCTCGCGCGAAGCCAAGGAAACTTCCCCGCTCGCCCGTGCCCGCTCTTCCCCCCGTCCGCTCCGCAGACCTTTTGCTGGCCCCCTCCTTCTTATCGCCTGCGACGCGATACTCGCAAGCCTAAAGGGTTGGGTCCTCCGCCAGGATGCACGTCGGTCGGAAGAAGTGGGTAGAAACATGAAGCAGGAAGGCGCTGGAAGTGGATTGGGTTTCCGCCCGCTCCCTGAATAGGAGGGAAGCGGGAAAACCACTCGACTCTTGAAGTATACGCAGGCGGCTAAAGTAGATTGGAATATGAGAGCCCAGAAACACCTTCTGTCAACGACAAGCGTGTGTGGTTGGGCCTTTCGCCAGAATACTCTTTCGATTCGACACCACTATTCCCCAGACCTCTCCTGCGGTGCGTGCTGACCGAAGTTTCGAGGCGAATCCAGTGGTGGCGACAAGGGCCTCCCAGGATGCCCAAGAAGGCGAAAACGAGGCCAGAGCAGCGGTGTCCGTACGTCACTGGTTTCTTTCACAACGTCGACCCGCTAAGGTCTCGACCCATTCCCAGGGACCTGACATTCATCACGAGTAGTTCTCTGACGGTTCTGGGGCCCAGCGAGGGCCCCCAGAAGCCGAAAATTGCAGAAAACCGTCCGTCGTGATCCTTGAGATCCGACGACACAAAAAAAAATGAGAATCGAAAAAGGACGACCAAAGACCCGGACCCCTCCGGTGCATTTTTCGAGCCGGACCGATGTGTGTGTGTGGGTCCTGGGCTCAAACAGCTGAAACGCCAGTCTCGAGAATTGCGTCCTGACGCGACGGGGATCTGGGCAATGCGGACCCAAGACCATTGAACAACTTCGGGGGGCAAGAACCATAATCGGGTCGGGCGAAAGGGGGGGATAGCAAAGGGGGGGGGTGAGAATCAGCTCACGTAGCTGATTTTCCCGGCGCCTCCCGGCGCCGGAGGCGGCTATGTATCGAGGAATGGGCCCCTCGGTGAGGCCGAAACCAGCTGCACGCAGCAAATTTCGTAACCCCCCCTTTCCCAATCCCCCCCTTCCGTCCGGCCCGACATAAATGCGTGAGGGGCCCAGGATCCCCAGAGCCACGTCTCCCGGCGTCACGCGAATCATAGCAGGCGGCAGAACCTGGAACGCCGCCGCCTCGCAGCCGCGGGGGGGAAACAAACAACAAATCTCGCCGCCGGGAGCGCTGTTCTCCCCCTCCGAAGAGAGAGGACGGGGGGGGATGGGCCTCCATATTACAACTCCAGGGCTAACATGACCTTCTCCCCTCTGGCTTCGTTCGACGTCTGGCTCGGCGGCGAGCGAGGGGCGGCAGTGAGAAGGAGAGAGCTCTCTCGGAAATCGGCGGGACTTCCCAGGAGCGTTCCGACCTTTTGAGAAGCTTCCTTTTTTCCTTCGGGGAGGCTTAGGGAACTTCTCGAAGGCAGGGGACTTCCGATCGGGTGTCGCCAGGAGTGTCCCTGGCCCAAGGAAGGTGCCCCCAGGATTTCCAAGGAGGGCCCCACGGCCTCCAGAGCACCCCTCACGAGGCCCAGTTGGCCCCAGGGGGCCCTCAAAAATTGAGCAAAAAGCTGAGGGCACCTTGGGCCAGGGGCACATTTATAGAGGCCTCCTAGATCGGGTCCCAATAGATGGGGTCGGAAGGTCGCGCCGCATCGCCCATGCATCGGCGATGCAGCGACGTCGACGTGGAGAACATCGGGCCCCGCATCGCGCCGCATCGGCGATGCGTCGGAGATGCGGCGCGATCCTCCGACCCTATCTGCCCCGACCCCATCTAGGAGGCCCAGGCTTTGGCAACCCCCGATCCGAGCCCTCTGAGAAGGTCCGCCCCTTCTCACCTCCCCCCCTGGGCTCGCCGCCGATGGACGGCACGCCCGCCCCCCCGAACCCCCCGCCCCCCACGGCACGGCCTCGTCTGGGGTCAGGCCGGCGTCCAGCATCTTCCGCAGCCAGCGGGCGGCCATCGGGACGTTGCGCCTCATCCTCTACTCTCCTCTACTCTCCTCCTCCTCCTCTTCCTCCTCCTCCTCCTTTTCTCCTCGTCCTCGTCCTCGTCCTCGTCCTCCTCCTCCTCCTCCTCCACCTCGTCCTGGTCCTGGTCCTGGTCCTGCTCCCCCTCCTCCCCCTCCTCCTCCTCCTCCTCCTCCTCCTCTCCTCCTCCTCCTCCTCCTCCTCCTCCTCCTCCTCCGCCCTCCTCCTCCTCCTCCTCCTCCTCCTCCTCCTCCTCCTCCTCCTCCTCCTCCTCCTCCCACTTCCCCCTCCTAGCCGTCCTCCCCCATCCCTCCTCGAAACCGGCTTGAGAGGTATATGGGCAGCCATGGAGGAAGCGCCGACGGGCCCACACCCAGACGGCCCAGGAGGATGCCTATTCGGTGGGCCGATCCTGCAAGGCCCCCCGAAACAAATTTATCCTGGCGAAGGGCCCGACCATGTGCAGCTGTGAGTATCGGCGTCGTGGGTATCGCCTTTGGTGGATCTCTCCATGGGGCCATGAAGCGCGTAAACGGTGCCAAAATGGGGCGGGGACGCATGCGGGCGCAGCAATTGGGGCCTTTGGTGGCGCTTCATATGGGGCCACGAAACGTCTGAAGGGTACCAAAATGGAGCGGGGCCGCCACGCGAACGTCGCCACTGGGGCCTCCCGTGGAACTCCGTATGGAGCCACGAAACGCTATAATGGGCGGGGGAGACGCATGCGAACACCGCCACTGGGGCCGTCGGGGGAGCTCCTTATGAGGCCACGTAACGCTGTACTGGGCGAGGGAGACGCATGCGAACGTCGCAACTGGGGCCTTCGGTGGAGCTCCCTGTGGGGCCACGACGCGTTGTACTGGGTGGGGGAAGCGCATGCGAACACCGCCACTGGGGCCTTCCCATGTGGGGCCACGAAACGTTGTACTGGGTGGGGGGAACGCATGCGAGCACCGCCACTGGGGCCTTCGGTGGGGCCACGAGACGCTGTACTGGGTGGGGGAAACGCATGCGAGCACTGCCACTGGGGCCTTCAGTGGAGCTCCCTGTGGGGCCACGAAACGCTGCGGAGACGCATGAGAACGTCGCCACTGGGGCCTTCAGTGGAGCTCCCTATGGGGCCACGAAGCGTTGTACTGGGTGGGCGAGCCGCATGCGAACACAGCCGCTGGGGCGCCTTCGGTGAAACTTCCTATGGGGCCACGAAACGCTGTACAGGGTGGCGGAGACGCATGCGAACACTGCCACTGGGGCCTTCGGTGGAGCTCCCTATGGGGCCACGAAGCGTTGTACTGGGTGGGGGACAGCGAATGCGAACACCGCCACTGGGGCCTTCGGTGAAACTCCCAATGGGACCACGAGCCGCTGCAATGAGTGGGGAGGCGCATGCGAACACTGCCACTGGGGCAGTCGGTAGAGCTCCCTATGGGGCCACGAAGCGCTGTACTGGGTGGGGGACAGCGAATGCGAACACCGCCACAGGGGCATTCGGTGAAGCTCCCAATGGGACCACGAAGCGCTGTGCTGGGTGGTGGAAACGCATGCGAGCAACGTCACTGCTTTTGGTTGAGCTCCCTATGGGGCCACAAAACGGCGTACTGGGTGGGGGAAGCGCATGCGAACACGGCCGCTGAGGCGTTCGGTGGAACTCCCTATGAGGCCACGAAACGTTGTACTGGGTGGGGGAAACGCCTTCGAACACCGCCACTGGGGCCTTCGGTGGAGCTCTCTATTGGGAGGATGGGGAGGAGGGAGGAAGGGGGAGAAGGAAGGAGAGTAGCGGCGACAAGCGGCCACCAAAGGACTCCACCGAGGTCCCCAAGACGTTTCAAGAGGGCCCGTGCAAATCCGATCTTCATCCTCAATCCCCGTCCTTCTTTGCCCGATGCATCCCTCCCTCCCCCAATACATCCACCGTCCATCCATGTATTCGTACCCTCCTCCTCCTCTCCTCCTCCTCCTCCTCCTCCTCCTCCTCCTCCTCCTTCTCCTCCTCCCCCTCCGCCCACTTCCCCTTCTCCTCCTCCTCCTCCTCTGCCCCTTACTCCTTGACTCCTTCCCACGGCCACAATGGAAGAAAACATTCGGTGCCATCCCCATGCAAGACGATAGTAATCACGGCCGCTGCTCAAATTACTGACCCAAGCCAGCACCCGGAGGGCCCGTGTTTGCAGAAACGAGAAACCCTCCAGGTATGGGCCGTTTGCAAGAGTGGGTAGGGCGCGATCCTGGCGATAAAGGCGCGATCACTCCCAGTCCAAGAGCGCACACGGCGAGATCCCAAATGAACGAACACCGGGCGCGATCCCAATGCATGAGCGCACGAGGGCGCGGCATTTGCCACCGTGCACGAGGCGCGGACCAGGAGCGCGCCTACGGCGAAACTCAAATGACAGAACGCCTAAGGCGCATCCCTCCGTTGCGTTGCGCAAGAGTCCGAATGCCAGAGCGACGTAGGCACGGTCCAGCGCACTGAGGGCTGGCGCGCCTCACTAGGGAATGCAGCCCTTGGCGCACAACTCCTCGTTGAGCGCGTTTGGAGACAAGCGGCAAAAACAAGCATCGTGTCCGCAACATCCGGATGCGACGTGGCACAAACAACGCGAAGCAGAGATCTTACTGATGTGCTGGCCCTGTCCCCAAAACTCTGGCCCCGCTCGGGCGCCATCAAGGACGTCGTCCTCTCTGACGTCCAGAGGCAGGCGTGGCCGGCCGTTGCCCCTGCCAGAACTGCCTGAAAGACTCTGGCTGGATGGCAGAGGGCGTCCCCGTGCCCAAGGGGAATCCCTGCGTCCCCTTCCCCGTGCGATCGGGGCGCCCCGGCGCCGTGGGGCAGCCGCGTGCTCTCCCTCCCCGGCGGGGGGCGATGCGCCTCCTGCGCGGAGGGCGCGGCCCGGCCCTCGGGGTATCGCGGCTGGAGCCCCTGGCTGCCGTGCCAGAAGACCTGCTGCCCGCGGGGGCCTGGGCGGACGGCCGTGTCGCCACCGTGGCCTGGTGACGAACCAGCAACACACACCCATACCCATAGGGGGGTCGGAGAGGGCTATGGGTGCGTGCTGTCGGATGGGGTTCCCCGCTCGAACGGGAGCGTTCCCCAGGGTCCGACGATCCGCACCCATACCCATAGCCAGTCCTCCTCTCAACGATTATGGGTATGGGTGTGTGTTGCTCGTTCGTCACCTGGCTCATGGGCGCAATAGGCCGCCAGCAGGGCCGGCAGGTGGGGCCAGAGCGGCAGCCACGGGCTCGACGGCCACTCAGCGCTGAGGCTCCCCGACGTTCCCGCGGACGCGGCGGGCTCCGCGGCAGCATCCGCAGGGGGGGATGGCCGCTGCCTGGCATAGGCCGCCAGTGGGGCCGGCAGGTGGGACCAGAGCGGAAGCCACGGGCTCGACGGCCACGCCGCCGAGGCTTCCCGACGTTCCCGCCGACGCGGCGGGCTCCGCGGCAGCACCCGCAGCAGGGGGGGATGGCCGTTGCCTGGCGGCGCAGGCAGTCCCCGAAAGAGGACACCTCGGCGCACGCGGGAGGCCGCTCCTCGATAGGGGGCCGGAGCGAGAGGGCAGTGCCTTTTCACGCCTGTGAGCTCACCTCCAACGCCTTCGGGGTGGGCGCCGTGGCAATGCCCTCGCCCTGTCGCCCTGCGATCTCGCTTGCGCCGCGAACGTGTCCGCATCAATGGCTCGCGGCACCTCCGCTGAGAAGCTGTCGTCGATGGACAACCCGCCCTCTTGCATCTTGGCGCGCTAGGGGGGGGAAATGCGAAAGGATGAGCCTTCTCAGAAGGCGGCGGGACTCCTCAGCAGCGTTCCGGCCCTCTGAGAGGCCCCCATACGGCTTCGGAGAAGGCTTAGAGAGCTTCTCAGAAGGCCGATGGACTTCCCAACCTTCTGAGATCGCCCAGCCCTCAAAGCCGCGTACCGCGACGGAGAGGCGGCTTTCTTGAAATTAGCAAGGTTGGCGGCAGCGGAGGAGATGTCCTCGGAGGTTACGATTTACTCGCGGCCCTAGCAATTACTGTGGTCATCGTTCAACGTCTGCATGAGGGCAACCGCTTCCTCCATCGCTCGCACACGAACATTCCGAAAGACCAGAACGAAATATACAGGAGCAGTACACAGGCCATGACGAAGACGGCTCATCGAGGCATGTTGCTGGCTGCGCATCCCATGCCGACAGCGTCAATATTCGATTTCGATTACGGGGTATCTGTTGCCCCGCCCCGAACCTAGATGGCCACGGAGCCTTGCTCACATGTCTCCTGCGATTGGCGACGCAATCACGAGCCGCCCACAGCCATACCACAATCATAGTGGGCAACACGAGCAATACGTTGAGCAGCAAAACGGAATAATAGACACCACGAGCAGGAACCGGCTGTGCCAACACCATAAATCGTGGCTAACGCACCAGCTCTTCGGCCAGCGCGGCTGGCTCCTTCTCGTCCTCATCCGCCTCCCCCTCCTCCTTCTCCTCCTCCTCCTCCTCCTCCTCCTCCTCCTCCTCCTCCTCCTCATCATCATCATCATCATCATCATCATCATCATCATCATCATCATCATCATCATCATCATCATCATCATCATCTCATCGTCATCATCATCAGCATCAGCATCATCATCATCATCATCATCATCACCATCATCATCATCATCATCATCATCATCATCATCATCATCATCATCATCATCATCATCATCATCATCATCCTCATCCCCCTCCTCCCCCCCCTGCACCTCCTCCTCTCTCTCTTTCTCTTTCTCTGTATATTTGTCCCCAACAGGTGCTTGCAGTTAGGGTTCTCACTTGTCTTCTCAGGAAATGACTGATTTGGCGGTCTGGCAGCTATGTATTAGCCGATGCTGCCCCGCCGTCGCCTCGTCGCCGCCCGTCGTCTGGGCCACTGTTCCGCTCTGGCGGCTGTGTTACCGCCGTCGCCGCCCCGTCGCCGCCCGTCGTCTGGGCCAATGTGCCGCTCTGGCGGCTATGTAGCGCCCGTCGCCGGCCCGTCGCCGCCTCGTCGCCGCCCGTCCTCTGGGCCAGTGTGCCGCTCTGGCAGCCATGTTGCCGCCATCGCCGCCCCGTCGCCGCCTCGTCGCCGCCCGTCATCTGAGCCAGCGTGGTAGTTTGGCGGTTATGTCGTCGCCGTCGCCGCCCCGTCGCCGCCCCGTCGCAGCCCGTCGTCTGGGCCAGTGCGGCGGTCTGGCGGTTCTGTTGTCGCCGTCGCCGCGGCGACATAGAATGCGCCGCATAGATTGCACAACATAGATTGCGCGACATAGCTTGCACCGCATATATTGCACCACATATGTTGCACAACATTGTTTGCACAACATCGATTGCACAACAAAAAATGCACCACAGATGTTGCACTATATACCACCATCGATTGCACCACGCATAAATTACACAACGTGGATTGCACGTAGATTCTGTTCAACATATCGCACACTAAATATTGCGGCGCGCAAATCGCACGCATGGGTTGCATAACATGTACATATGTTGATAATCACGTAGTCCCCTATCCACCAAAACAACAATTTCTACCCCCTGGATTATCACCTCTCCTTTTCGTATTGTAATTCACACATGATTTTGCGCCACCGTCCATCCGACATATAAGTTCGTACCATCCAAGCCGAGTCGGTATCTGCCCCCCCCCCCGCGCCATCCAACGCAACAAACTACAACGCGCGCGCACTTGTTCATCAAATACCCAAGCTTGGTTTCCAAATTCTTTTGCAAAAAATTGAAACGACGCGCGCACGCGCGCGTCGTCGCACGCGCATGCCGAAATCCTTCAAAAAACCTTCGTTGCGTAAGGGTTTCAATTCGCGTATCAAAAAACAATATATATATATATATATATATATAGAAATGGTCTCGCGACGCGCATGTTCCAAACAAAGTTGTGCGCGCGCTCTTGCGAATTCTTGAGGAAACTCAAGGTCTGCTTGAGCATGTCCCGAAAATGCTACCAAACGGACTTCCCGTGCGCGCATGTCGAAATTGTTCAGACGCCCTTGCGCGCGTGCCGTCGCGAGAACCCTTTTGCAACAAATGCGACGGGGTGCACGCGCACGCGTCGTCGCGCGCGCAGGCCGAAACCCGCCAAACACCAGCGGTTTCGTAGCGATTCCGAAACCGAATGTCCAACCACTCATACAAACAACCCCTGGTTTCGCAAAGTGAGTTTTCAAAAGCGTGTGCCCGCGCCCTTGCGAGCTCGTTGTAAAAAAGCCACGGTTTTCCAACATGGCCAAGGATTTGCCAAACGGGCCTCTCGCGCCGCACGCCGACATCATTCGCGCACCCTCGCGCTCGGTGGGGGGGCGCGATCCGCGTCAAACAATTCAATGCGGGCCACTCTCGCGCGTCGGCCGCGCACGCATGTCGAACTCTTTCCAACATCTTCATCACCGACGCGAAGACGCCGTCATCGTCGTCGGCGTGATCAGCAGTGGGGCCCGCGCTGGTCGCGCTTTCGTCGTTGCCAACGCCGTCACCAACATCGCTACTCTCATGAACGTGTCTACCATTGTCGACGTTGCCATGACACCGCGCCCGCCCAAGTCGCCGACTCGCAGTGAAGTGCCCGCTCGGATGTGCCCAGCGGTCAGCGCCAACGCGGCCGCGCTGGTCGCGCCAAACTAGCTGGCCGCTGCGCGCGCGTGCTTGGGTTGGCGCGGCCGCGAAGCTACACCAGCCAACAGCAAGCATGCATCGCAATCGTCACCGCATGGGTTTTGCAAACCAAATTGCGGGTGGGTGGGTGGCATGTTTGGAAGAGAATGGGATGTGCCAACTCGATTGTTAAAATCAATTGCACAACATAGACTGCTGCACATAGATTTAACACCCTATCATGATAGAAAACACTGTTTAGAGTGCCCGCTGGCTAACATACCTTTCTCCTCTCCTCCTCCTCCTCCTCCTCCTCCTCCTCCTCCTCCTCCACATGTTCCTCATCCTCCCTCCTCCCTCCTCTCTCCTACCTCCTCCCGCCTCCCTCATCATCATCATCATCATCATCATCATCATCATCATCAGCATCATCATCATCAGCATCAGCATCATCATCATCATCATCATCATCATCATCATCATCATCATCATCATCATCATCAGCATCAGCATCAGCATCAGCATCATCATCATCATCATCATCATCATCATCATCATCATCATCATCATCATCAATACCACTATCAGCATCATCCTCATCATCACAATCACAATCCCCATCATCATTACCATCATCACCATCACTCACACTCAGCATCAACACCACCATCACCATCACCATCACCAACACCATGACCATCAATATCACCATCACCATCACTACCATCAGCGTCATCGTTATCATCATCTGCATAGTCGTCGTCACCGTCGTGACCATCGTCATCATTAGCATTAGCATCATCAACATCATCATCATCATCATCATCATCATCATCATCATCATCATCATCATCATCATCATCATGACCATCATCATCACCACCACCACCATCATCACCCCCCTCCTCCTCACACGTATCCTTCTCATCATCATGCCCCTCCTCCTCCACCTCCTTCTCTCCTCCTCCCCTTTGTCCTCACCCGCCGCACCTCCTGGCATGGGCGCTGATGACGGCCGTGTATGCGCTTCTGTCGACCTCCGCGCCGGCCTTGTGCAGACTGGCCAGCCACTCCTGTGCGCTTTTGGGCGCGCGGGGCAATGAACAAGAAGGGCTGAGGGAAGAGTGGGAAGAGGGGGGAGGAGGAAGAGGAGGAGAGAGGCTCGCACACACACACACACACACACAGAAGCTGAACGCTGAAATACTCTGCACCCCGACGGGCATCTCATCTTCTACCAAATCTCACTGCCCTGCTGTTCCCGCAATTGTTTGCAATTGAATCAGTTGGCTACCGTGCCTTCGTCGGTTGTTTGTCCAAGCCAACTTCTGTATCACCCAAACACTGCAATCGCAAATTAAGCCCGCTCAACAAACCCCTACAAACAAACAAACACACACACACACACGCACATCTTCATATGTGCATGATATTGTAGATATGCACATCTAGAGACATCCGCCACCATGCCCGGAGCACTGGTTGAAGTGTCCTCAGGTCCTTGGCCAAATCCCTTCAGCCCCAGTCCTTAGCCCTGAGGATTCTGCAAGGGGCATTCCAAGTCGATGTCGGCCCCCTATGCCGACCAGCCATAACTGGGGGAGCTGTGGTCCTTACCCCCCTGGAGGAACCCATCGCATCGACGATCTCTCGAGAGGGGTGTCGAAATCGATGGGTCCCCCAGGGGGGTAAGGACCACAGCTCCCCCACTTGTGGCTGGCCTGCTATGCCATGTCCCCCCATCTCGTCGCCCCTCAGAAGTGGGGCGGGCCTTCCCAGAAGGCTCGGAAGTCCTCCAGCCTTCGGAGACTTGTCCCAAGCTTCCCCCTAGGGCACGGATGCGTTCTCGGGAAGCCAGAAGGCTCCTGAGAGGCCCCGCCGCCCTCTGCGAAGGCTTCCTCCTGCGCACTTCCCCGTCTCGCTCGCCGCCGAGAGGAGGAGGAGGCGGCGCCGATAGATCGGCGATGGGCCCCCGATAGCCGAATCCGCCTGTTCTACGGGCAGGTTGGGGCTATCGGGCCCCTATCGGCGATCAGGGGGCGATTGGGGGGTCGATGCATCCTCCCTAGTTATGTCCATCCCCCCCCTATCGTTGCTCCTCATCCCACTGCACCCCCAGGCTGGCCGCCGATCCTCGGTTCCCCCTCCGCCGTTCGGTGACGTCGGGCGCTGCCAGCAAGCGCGCAGCCGCGGCGGCGCCGCCCCACTCGCGCCGCCGCCGAGCGTGAGGGGCCAGCACGCACGCGCGGCGGCGCGCGTGGCCGCGCGGCTGCCTCGCCGAGGTCCACTCTAATCAGCCTCGAGCTTATCCTCACCCCTAAGATCGGCGAGCCCGAGTCGATGGCAATCGTAGGGGTGTGCCTTCAGAAGCTGAGGGAATCTTTCAGATCGGCACCGAGGCAAGGTGCTGCCAAGCACAGGGATAGGGCTATGTTTCAAGCTGGTAACAACCGGCGACTCCGAAGGGTGATGCTTGCAAAGGGTGTGGTTTGCGATCGGCGCCCTGTGGGACACCCTGGGGGGCGGGCAGGCGGCGACCTCGATATAGAGTTCTCCGCCTCGCCCCGAGGAAGCCCGACGAGGACAACGTCGTGCCCCCCAGGCCCACACGGCGCCGATTGCAAACCACAAGCCCGCGTAACCACACCCCTGTAGTCGCCGATCCAAGGCCATCGCGGCCAGGACCTGTCCGGCCTGGCCGCGGCGATCCGTGCGGCGCTGGCGGCCAGGCAAGCAGCTGCGGCCGCGGGCGCGGAGGTGGAGGCAACAGCTGGTGCTGCCGAGGAAGCTCGGGCTCCCCCTCCCGGCTCATCTTCCTCCCGCGCCTAGCGCGCGGGACGGTGGTCGGGCCATGGCGGCTGCTGCCGCTGGCGACGCGGGGGGACCGAGGCTGCCTCGCTCTGTCCCGGAGGCTCCCGACGAGCAGGCCGCGGCCTCGGCGCTGGGCCTGGCGGGGCTGCGGGCGGCGTCGTCGCAGAGCCCCGCACACGCTGCGCGGGGCTCGCGGGGGCCCGAGCACGGCGGCGCGAATGAGGCCACGGTGGACGACGACGCCGTCCTCGAAGCGGTCACAAAACGCCGCAGCGTCCTCTGCTGCGCTCTCCCCGGACATGCCGTCCAACTACCTCGGCAGCGCCGCCGCAGCAATCGTCGACCATCCGCGGGCGATCGCCACCAGCTTGCGAGCGCGACCTGCGCGAGGTGGGACGCACCCGCTCCCCTGGCCGCATGCGCGCGGCACAACTGGGGCATGTCGGCGATACTCGTGCACGTCTCGCCACGCTGGGGGAGTGGGCACTGTCCGTCTTCACTGCCAAGGGCCCCACCCGCTCGCAGGTGAACTGTCTGGTGAGTTTCCTGAGGGTTCACCTGGTGGAGAGTCGTCCTGACCAGCGTGAGTACACCTCTACAGGGGGGTCAAGACCGCTGGGAGCAGCTCCTATGGGGGGCCGCGTGAGTACGGCCCCCTGGGGAGTCAGCAAGGAGGAGGAGGAGGAGGAGGAGGAGGAGGAGGAGGAGGAGGAGGAGGAGCAGCTGAGCGTGTGGTGCGTCTTCAGCACTGTTCTTCTTCCTGGCGTGATTCCTGGCGGTCCACGTGGTGGCGTCGTGGCGTTTGTTGGCCTGGCGGGCGACGGCGGGCCTGGTGCAAGGCAAGCGAACACATCGTCGCCGTCGTGCTCGCCGACCATGACCCCACACATACTCGCGTCGTGAAAACTTCAAGACGGAGGTTTTTCGCCGTTTTCGGCATCTGGAGGCTCTCGCAGGGCCCCGGGACCTTCCAAAAACGACGCTGCAGGGCGAAAAACTGGTCCCGGGGAAAGGGTCGGGACTTCCGGGGACGCCGTACTCCGGGCGGCTTGACCACTCAAGTTCTCCCGACGCCGCTCTTCGCGGTGCCCACGGCGCCGGGCGCCCTCCTCCTGAGGTGAGGGCCGCGCGGCGCGCGGCGGCGCACCGCGGTCGGGCCCCCCCCCGCGGTCTGGCCGATTTCCAGCGCGGCCAGCTCTGGGCCTCAGCATCCGCTCCCACCCTTCCGGGTACCCGCACCCTGGAGGAAGCAGGAGAGCCCGGAATCGAATCGACAAGTCGGGTCGGCGATCGACATGAATCGGATCGACGGAAATCGGCAGCCGAGTCGGAAAAAGTCGAATCGGCGGACATCGGCAGGCTAGTATGCCTCCAATGAAAAATCGGAACCCAAATCGGAATCCCAAGCCGAATCGAATCGGAATTGGAAGCCATCGAAGTCGAATCGAATCGAATCGGAGGAATCGAAACGAGCCCTGAGGAAGGGCACTGCTGGAGGTAGTTGCCAGACTCGCACTGGCTATGCGAGAGGTGCCTCGCTGGGCGTTCTCATCGGATTCCCCGCCTGTCGGCCTACCGTGCCCAGGCTGCAATCACCTTATGACTGGTCTCACTCTGAATCCTACCGAATGCTGCACGTGGCAGGAAACAAGACACGTATAATGGTTTGATCCTGGTGCGGGCAAACTACTCAGGGTCAGCGGGCCAGAAGTTTGCAAGCGGACTGTAAGAATACTTTCAGCAACGACCACACCAAGTCCAATTGTACGCGGCATACGCGTCACCAGCACCCGAGCCACGCCAAAGAGCCTGGCCAGGTGCCAGTGGACCCAGCTAGTTACTTTCGCTGAGTGTCAGGCTCGAGAGAAGGGGCGGCCACCCTCGGGAGAAAACCTCTTCCACGTCACGTGCTGGTCTGCCTCCCGCTTAGTGTTCATCGTCCTCCGCCTCCTCCATTGTATGATGTCGAAAACGGCATAAACATACACTTTCGGATGTCCGCGCGGATTTCTTAGATTGCAGGTGCCCAGGGACACACTAATACACAGGCCCATACCACAGGATTCCACATATTTTCATATATATATATATATATATATATATATATATATCCAGGGTGTTCGTCTTCGCCACTTCGCATATGTTCCTGTCTGTTCCTGGGAGTCGACGATTGTTTGTGTCTGTGTGTTGTTTCCCCTCCCGATGGATGGGCGCTGCATCCGCCTCCCTGGCGCGCGGAGCGCGCCAAAAAGGCGCCGCTGTGGTGGGCCTGGCGCAGGTCCTGGAGCTCCACGCGAGGACCTCCGACAGTTTCGGTGTATGCAACTTTGAATGGGGCCCAGGGGCACACCAATAAATACACACAAATCTCAGGATTCCATGTTTCTCATATGTTCTGAAGTGTCGTCTTTCTCCCCCGACTTCCCACATTTTCCCATATGTTCTAAGAGAATCGTCGATTACTTGTCGTGTGCGTGTTTCCCTCCTGAAGCCTTTTTTTTTCGAATGTCAATCGCCTGGAAAATGCATATATTATACCCAGAAGCCCCGGGGGGCGAGCGTGGGTCCTGCCTGGTCGCGGGCCTGGTATACAAGCTTCCCTCCCTGGGGCGTGGTTTGTGTATACTGAAAGTGGCCCCTGGGCGGCTGAATCTGACTGGGGCGGGAAGGGTATGGTGGACAAGCGATCTTGAGGGTGTCACTTGTCGGCTGCACGCGAGAGTGGCCCTCGGCAAGGGGGACCTTTATTGCGCGATTTTCTAGGGGCGCGGGGGGGCCAGATCCGAGGGCACCAGACGCTGCTGCAGCATCGCATGCAGCCATCTGGGGACCCCCAGTGCACCCGCACCAGGAGGTCACCCCGGCGAAAGGTCAATATTGTACTACGTGCAGTCGAGCGTGCTGACCCCTGGCGGCGCGCACAAGCGGGCAGGGGCAGGGGGGAAAGGCTTCTTAGAGGGAGGCTGCTTCTGAGAAGGCGCGGGCCTTACCATCTACAGACAAGGCCCGCGCCTTCTAAGAAGCAGCCTCCCTCTAAGAAGCCTTCCCCCCGGCCCCTCCCCCCTTGTGCGCGTGGCCGGAACCCTGCTCTTCATCGCTATGCTCCGCGTCTTCCGCCGCCTCCCCCCCATCTTGGGCCGACTCCTCGGCCTTCCGCACGTTGCCGGCCTTGGCCCACGCGCCGACCAGCGCCGAGGTGGACCCGGCGCAGGGCTTTTCGCCTGTGGCTCCCGGCGGCGCCGCTGCAGATCGGAGGAGGGGGGGAGGACGAGGAACAACAATAGGAAATGATGATGGTAAAGGTTACGATCGTAATCGTGAGCGGTAACAAAATGACGCGGATGATGGTGATGATGATGACGAAGACGGTGACGATGATGACGGTGACGATGATGACGACGATGGTGAAGATGGTAATGATGATGACAACGACGATGGTGACGACGATGGTGATGACCCCACCGATTCAAGGAGGCGGCGACCAATACAACTTGGACCTTGCATCCACCGCAGCACTGAGCGCACCCAACCCCGAGCCAACACGAAAGACGCCGCCCCCGCCGACCCTACCCCTCACCCCGCCATGGACGCAGCACCCCGGCCACGGACGTAAATGGGCACGGGGCCCGAACCACCCTTCGAAACCAAGGCTCTAGGGAATGTGAGTCGGCAACGGTGAGTGTGATGCTGATGGCGACGATGACGATGATTGTGGTGATGGCGATTATGCTGACGGTGGCGCTGTGGAGGCTCCCCGGAAAGGCCGGGGGAACGGTACTGGGAGCGTTTCCGAGATGTGGCGGGGAGGTGTGAGACCTGGGGCGGGGGGGGGCGGGTTTATTTATATATTATCTATGTACATGTATAAGCATGTAGAACGACGCGCGCGCTTCGCGCGCACTTAGGTTCTAGCGCAGCCGAAGCCAACCTCACAGGATCGGACGAGGACGGACGTCATCCCGCAAGGATCACCATGTGGGAGCGTACTTCTTGATGGACGCTTCAGGAGTGAATAGGGCTCCAGGAAGTCGCGCAAGGCAGCCACGAGGACCCAGGTCAGCCTAAGGGGCGATGCCCGAGAGCCCCTGGGAGCCTGGCAAAACCATCCCTGGGCTAGAACCATTGCGCGCGAATCGTGCGCTTAGGTTCTAGCCCAGGCCGGAAGGGCGCTGGAAGATCTTGGACAGCGCTATCAAGCACAGGCGCGTGACATAGTCGTGCCTCCTGAAAGTCTCTTGGGGACCTCTTAGGTCTTCGCGGGGGCATCTGATGGGCTTCTGGGGGGCTCTCCGTGCTTCCTAACCGTGCTTCCTAAATTGGCTGTTGGAAACACCTATCCGGGCAGTTGAACGTGATGTTCTGCAATCTGAAGCCGTGATTGGCAGTCTTGGCTGCGCGGAGGCCCGACTTGAGGCCACCTGGGGTCACATTGAGGCAATCCTGACGCCTCCCAGGGGCCTCCTGAAGGCAGTTTTGATGCATCGAGGGCACTGTTGGGCTATCTAGGGCCTCTTGGGATGCTTTTGGAGGCTTCGTCGGACCACTTGGGAGCCTTCTGGAGCCTCCTGTGGGCCTCTTAGGGCGGAAGGCTCTGCTGTTGGGCTCGCGTTCTCCTTTTTGGGCCTGTCTTGGGGCCGTCTTGGGGCCATGCACCGTCTCGGGGCCCTCGTGGGCCGTCTTGGGGCCCTCTTGGAGGCCTCGTCGGCTAATCTTGGAGCGGTCTTGGGGGCCTCGTGGGTCGTCTTGGAGCGTCGGGATGCCAAAAGGCTGAAAACCAGAAAATCCGTCAAACACCTATGGGAAAATAATGATTTGTGCCTCTTGGGGCCTTCTTGGGGGGCCTCTTGGAACCTCTTCGACCCTCTGGGGAGCTTCTTGGGGGCCTCGTCGGACCACTTGGAGGCCTCGTGGGGCTTTCTGAGAGCCTCTCGGGGTGAAGGCTCGGATTCCCTGTTCGTGTTGCCCCTCTTGGGCCCTTCTCCGGGCCGTCTTGGGGCCCTCTCGGGCCAGCTTGGGCGCCTCGGGCACCGACTCGGGGCGCTCGTGGGCCGTCTTGGGGCCCTCTTGGAAACCTCTTCGGCTATCTTGGCGCGGGGCTCGTCCGTGCGAGCAGGTTGAACAGTAGTCGGACGGTTGGTCTAAGCGCATGCTCTTGGGGCAACCATATGGAGCATTGACACAGGGCGCGCCACGGGGGCAGCAGGTTTGGGAAAGGTACGAGGCAGCAACATTGAAGTGTGAACAACCACGCGTGGCAGATGCGTGCTTCTCCACGGCTGGCGGCGGCTTTCCAAACGGCGCAGCAGGTACCCCTGGCGAAGAAGCAGGCGATGAGAGACAACCCCGGCAGGAACCCCGTCGTCCAGGAGCTGCGCGCCTGTGGCATCGAGGACCTTCGGTGCGCGGTGGGCAGCTCGCGATGCAAAGTGTGCAGTTGCGCGTCGCCAGCAGCGTGGGCGATGCTGATGCAAATCTCCGCGGAACACAATGGCAATGAGGGCGGTGGATTGCAAAAATAGCACAGGCCGCCGTTCCCCATGGGAACTCTCATCGGGCACAAAGGCGCGGCACATGGGGTATGGCCATGGGCACTAGGGTAGCACGCTGTTGACGGCAATGCTAGTAATCGGACGGTTGGTCTAAGCACATGCTTCTGGGGCAACCATGTGGAGCACGGGCACAGGGCGCGCCACGGGAGCAGCAGGTTTGGCAGAGGTCCGAGGCAGAAAAGTTGAAGTTTGAACAACCACGCGTGGCAAATGCGCACTTTGCCAAGGGTGGCGGCGGCTTTCCAAACGGCGCAGCAGTTTCACTGCACCGACCTTGCAGACGTGCTGCGACGGATTGTTGCGTGGTTTTCTGTATATGCAGAATCCCGAAGCGGCGAGTGAAAAACGAAGTGAATCCCACCAGCCCCCTGGGCGTAGGTGGTTTAGGGAGTTTCCTCTTCCAACCCCCTTCTTCCCCTTCGGGGAGGGGTTTAACCCTCCCCCTGCCCCCTCCCCTGGGCATGGACGGGGGTGGTCGCGAGGGGTTGGAGCGTAGATGGCTTCAAAAGGGCCTCGGAGAGGCCAAGATGACCTCCAAGATGGCTCAAGGTAGCGCCAGATGCGTCAAGATGGCTCTCAAGATGCTCCAAGAAGCCCCAAGAATGCTCCAAGACGGCTCCAAGAGGCCTCCGAGACTCCCAATGAGGCTTTTAAGAAGCCAACATCATTCAAAAACCTAGGGACCATTAATGAGTTGTGCCTTCTCGCCTTATCGCTCCCAATGGCCATCCGAGGCCTCAAGATGGCTCCAAGATGACCCCAGAGGGCCCCAAGAGGGGCGCCAGAGAGGCCCAAGACGGCCCCAAGAGCGCCCAAGAACGCTCCAATAGCGCCCCGAGAAGGGTTCAGGAGGCGATGTTTGGAGTTCTGGCAGGGCAGCGCTAATGAAGGAGCGCCCCTTCTGTGATCGATCTCCTCCAAGATGGCCCCAAGAGCGCCCCTAAAGCTCCCAAGAGCGCCCTAAGCGACCCAAAAGGCACCCAGACGGCCCCTCCTCCACCTCCTCCTCCTCCTCCTCCTCCTCTTCCTCCTCCTACTTTACCGCCTCCGCCTCCTCCTCCACCTCCCCATCATCCTCCTTCTCCGCCTCCTCCTCCTCCTCCTCCTCCTCCTCCTCCTCCTCCTCCTCCTCCTCCTCCTCCTCCTCCTCCTCCTCCTCCTCCTCTCGGCCCGCGTGGGCCCAAACCAACGTTCGCCGTTCCGTCCCCGTGCGGTGCCGCCCGCAGCTGGTCCGTCAGGGTTGGGGGGGAGGGGGCTCCCAAGCACTGCGTGGGCAAGACCTTCGATATGCCCCCGATCGTGGCAATGGAGGGGTCCGTCCCCCCGCAGTCTTCATCCGGGTCTTACTCCCCTCCCCGCCTCCACCCCGCTCTCCGCCCGTCCCGTCCCATTCCCCTTCCGCCCCCAACCGCTCCCGATGCCCTCCTCTTCGCTTCGCACTTTCCACCCCTCCCTTGCTTGCCCTGCCCCTCCTCTGCCCTGTCCCTGTCCCTCCCTCGCACGTAGTTTGTTGACCCTGCCCGCGCCCAGGCCTGCGCGCGTCATGCGCGTGAACCACAGCGTGGCCCGCTCGGGGTCGCCCCGCTTGGCGAAACCACTGCGCGACAAGGGGGCGGGGGAGGCGCTGAGAGAAGAGACGGAAGAACAGAGAAAAACCACGAAAAGGAGCAAAACGCGGAAAAGAAAGAGGAAGAAGACGACGAAATGGAATACGGAATACTCAAGCTCCAAACGTGACAACGAGCATGCCCCCCTGCGTGCACACGGCTATACCTATATATATATATATATATGTGTGTATGTATATATGTATATATATGTATATATATATATATGTATATATGCATATATGTATATATTTATGTATGTATGTATGTATGTATGTATGTATATATGTATATACGTATACATATATATATATATATATATACAAAAACGCGACGTTACCAGGCCTGCAGGCCCTTACCATTATGCAGCGAACTTTTTCAAACGACGTGTTTTTCGGCGTTGGGAGCCTGTTCGAATTCGAAATGCGGCCATCAGGTCCCACACGGAACGCGTAGGCCTCGAACGTGGGGCGCCGCATTGCCCTACACATTGTTTGCGGTGCGAGAGGGAGGGCGGCATTACCTTTGTCCCACCACGGTCCCACTCTCCCCACTTTCCCCACAATCCCCTCCACTGTCCCACTGTCCCCACTGTGCCCACTACTGTCCCACTGTCCCCGCCGCTGTCCCACTGTGCTGTCCCAACGTCCCGTAATGACCCCCCCCCCCGGTTTTCGAGGGGGAGGGGAGGGGGTTCGAACCGGCAATGACCCCCCCCTCCCGGTTTTCGATGGGGGGGGGGGAGTTTGAACTGGTAGTAACCCCCCCGCCCTTTTCATGATGGACTGGGGTGGGGGGGAGGGGTTCGAACTGGTAGTGACCCCCCCCCCGGTTTTCTGGAGGGGGGGGGTTCGAACCGGTAGTGACCCCCCCCCGGTTTTCCGCCAGCAGCGGTAGAACACGCTCTTTCGGATATTGAGGAAACACCTGGACATCCCCACCAACAAAGCAGCTCGATCCGTAGCCCTTTTTTTAATGACCTGTCATGCGGCACGGAGCAGCACGCGATGATCCACCACCGAGCTGTGCGGATTGCTGGTATGTGTGTGTGTGTGTGTGTTTGCGTCAAGCCCCTGCTTCCCCTCTGTCTTCTCAAATGACCTTCTTGTGAGGCAACAGCACTAAAGGCCCACCTCCTGGCGATCCAACCAAGCATGCGTCCGCCTCTGAGGATCATTTTGGCTCCAGGTCTAAGTGGCTTCTGCCCCCTGCCCCCTCCATCTATCACACATCTTGGGGGTACCGAAACGGTGTGGTGATACACCGCGTGCTGACCTCAAAATCCCAGAAAACCTCACCGCACGGTCCGTCATCACACGGCTTTGGGACCCGGGGGGCCCCTGTCGCCAGAGACATCCCCAGCGAGCGGCCCGAGTCCCAGAACCGTGCTGTGACCCCGAATCCCCGCTCACTCACCGCGTGGTGTGGTCACCACACCGTTCGGGGTCTGCCGAACATCGTCTGGTTGTCTCGGGGGGGGGGGCCGGAGGTTCCAGGAGCACGGAGGCCCCTGGAGGCCCCTGGACGCCCGGGCAGGGCCCGAGACGTCCAAACACCTCGGTCATCGGCCGATCGGTCGACGACGATCACGCGCCGCCCGGCGGCCGGGCACCTCTTTCGGCGTATACACGCAAGAGCGACCCGGGGCAAGAGTGGCCCTAGGCAAGATTGACCCTTTGCTACACGCAAGAGAGGCCCTAGTAGGCAAGAGTGACTCCAGGCAAGAGTGACTCCAGGCAAGGAGGGGGGGCCCTTTTGGGACACTGCACCCGGCGCGCAAGCCGCCACTATCGCGTCGCAATCAGCGATCGGGAGGGGGGCCATCGGGCCCGCACCAGAGGTCACTCCGGTGAAAAGTCACTCTTACATGTATAGAAGATGTATAGAAGAAGAAGAGGAAGAAGAAGAAGAAGAAAAAGAAAAAGAAGAAGAAGAAAAAGAAGAAGAAGAAGAAGAAACGCCATACATGTAACTTTTGGCGCTTTTTTGGCGCTCCGCGCGGATACCTTGGATCTGCGCTGGACCCCCCTCCCTGGCGCGCGGAGCGCGCCAGGGATCTGCGCTGGACCCCCCTCCCTGGCGCGCGGAGCGCGCCAGGGGCGTCGCCGGAGGCGCCGCCGGGGGGGGGTGCAACGCGGAACCAAGAAATCCGCGCGGAGCGCCAACAATTTATGTCTATGCTGTTTTTCTTTCTTCGAATGTGGCCGATTCTTCTCCCATCGGAACACCTCGGCCCCCACCAGGCCCAAGACGTAAATACAGCGCGGGCCGCGATCTCCGATGATGAACAACGTGTTCAGGAAAAGTACGGAGGGGGCAAAGGAGGAGGAGGCGGAGGTGGAGGAGGAGGAGGCAAAGGGGGAGGAGGAAGAGGAGGAGGAGGAGGATCAGGGAGGAGGAGGAGGAGGAGGAGGAGGAGGAGGAGGAGGAGGAGGGAGGAGGAGGAGGGAGGAGGAGGGAGGAGGAGGAACACCTAGGCCCCCACGAGAGGCCCAAGACGTACACGCAGCGCGGGCCGCGATCATCTCCGCCCCCCCCCCCACACCTGGCGGCGGGCACGAGACGAGTCTCGGGAGGCAGGCCCCCCCCGAAAAATAGCAGAAAGAAGCTCGCGGAAGCTGTGGTGCTGGTTGTCCCCGTGGCGCGCCGCCCCATGGCGCGCAAAGCGGACGTGGATCGCTATTGGGCGCTGTGAGTTTACACTGGTGCTCCTCCTCCCCCTCCTCCCCCTCGCTCCCCCTCCTCCCCCTCCCTACCCCTCCTCCCCCTCTCCTCTCCTCCTCTCCTTCTCCTCCTTCCTCCTCATCCTCCTCCTCCTCCTCCTCCTCCTCCTCCCTCCCCCCGCCTCCCCCTCCCCCTCCCCCTCCCCCTCCCCCTCCCCCTCCCCCTCCCCCGCCCTCCTCCTCCTCTCCTCCTCCTCCTCCGCCTCCTCCTCCGCCTCGGCCTCGGCATCCGCCTCCTCTTCCGCCTCCGCCTCCGACTCCGCCTCCGCTTCCGCCGCCGCCGCCTCCGCCTCCGCCTCCGCCTCCTCTTCCTCCTCCTCCTCCTCCTCCTCCTCCTCCTCCTCCTCCTCCTCCTCCTCCCCCTCCTCCTTCCGCTCTCCGGCCGCCCCCT